CCTCATCTGGTCTTACAATCAAATTATTGACGTTTGCCCAGTTTCTAAGTAAGAATGGTATACATGGGATTGCAAAAGACGGTATCAAAGCAGGGCGCAATCGGGTTGTAGTTACTTTTGTTAGTGCAATATCCGCAAACAAATTTATTGAAAATTCTCTCCTCACCACGAATTCTTACAAAGCACTTATCCCCACATTTCACTTGATAAGAAATGGTATTGTGAGAAATATTCCGATAGAGTGGACTATGGAAGAACTGGTCAAGTCAATTGATTGCACTAATGGCTCCCAAGCCATTAAGGCCAGATGTCTAAACAGGAAAGAATATATTGATAACAAACCACATTGGATCCCCTCCCAAACAGTAATGGTCTCTTTCCTTGGCAAAGAGCTACCTGAAAGAGTCCTGTGTTATCATACATCCCTTCCAGTAGAGATCTATACTCTACTAACCATACAGTGCAACAATTGCTGCCGCTTTGGTCATGTGAAAGCCCAATGCCGTTCAAAGCCCAGGTGTTTCAGATGTAGCCAACCACATGCTGGAGATTCTTGTGGTACCTCCCAACCAACGTGCTTATATTGTTGTGGCCCCCATATGGCCACGGATCCCTCCTGCCCTGAACAAGCCAGACAGAAATCTATTAAGGTTGTTATGTCTACAGAAAACATCCCATACTCGGAGGCTTCCCTTAGATTCCGGACTGTACGTAAATCTTTTGCTGACAGCGCTCGCCCTATGACAGCTCAACCTCCTGCAGCAACCCAATGTTCTCCTACAACCTCTCAACCTCATAATTTCCCCTCTCTTTCCCCAAGCTCCTCCCAAAGAAAAACTGTTTATTTTGAACGCCGACTCTGGGTTTCCCCAAAATCTGGTTTCGATAAAGCAAGCCACAATGACCTTATTATGACTCCGCAGTCCACATAACCTAATGGCTGTGCTATTAATTCAGACTTAGCAAACAATACCTCCAGAAACGAAAATCTTATTGAATTACTTATCAACACACTTATCAATATTATTTCTAAATTTGATGATTCACTTCCGAACAATGTCATTCAATCACTGAATAAATTTAACTCTTTAATCCATATTAATAATGACCCCAATCCTACAATGGAACTGTAAGTCAATACGTCATAAAAAACATGAAATAATTGATTTAATAAATAACTATAAGCCCACCATCCTGGCTATCTCGGAAACATGGCTAAAGCCATCTTCGCGTTTTAGGATTCCTGGTTTCTCATGTCTCAGGGATGATAACAACAATGGATATGATGGCTGTGCTCTAATTATTAAAAGACCCACTGTTTATTCTCTATTACACCTTCCTTCTCACTCCCCGAATTTTAATGTCGTAGCAGCTAGAGCTTTAAACATAACATTTGTTTCAGTATACATCCTCCATCCTGATCAATCTATCTTCACTGAACTAGACTCCATCCTTGCTTCTCTCCCATCCCCTCTTGTTGTGCTTGGTGATTTTAATTGTCATCACACAATGTGGGGCTCTAACCATTGTTCATCTCCTGCCACCTTTCTTATTGGCATGCTTGATAATAACAATCTCTGTGTTATAAACACTTGTTCCCCTACAAGAAGAACTTCTCCCGCCCAAAATCCCAGTTGTGTTGATCTTTCCCTAATTTCTTCTGAATTAATTTCCAAATTCTCTTGGAGAGTACTTTTCAATTCTTATGGCAATGACCATCTTCCTATTATAATAACTTTCGCTCAGTCTGTCCAGTTGGCACCGCCTTCAACCCCCCTCCTTAAATTTAAACTGAGTAAGGCTAAATGGGATGAATTCTCTTCATTAGTGGAAGTTAAAACTAGGTTACTCCCACTAATTACAAATGAGAATTTCCTTGTAATCTATGAGGATTTCATTAACATTCTGCTTTCTGCTGCTGATCTCTCTATCCCTCTTAAAAAATCTAAGAAAGACACCATCTCCTCCCTCCCATGGTGGGACTCCGACTGTACAGAAACTATTCTAGAACGCAATGGAGCTGAAGAACTTTTTTTGGATAATCCTACTATTGAAAACTTTTTGTCCTTCCAGAAGCTCAATGCTAAATCCAAAAAGCTGTTCTCAAAAAAAAAGCGCCTTGGCTGATCTCAGTTTTGCGAGAATCTCTCTCCTCGTGTAAAATCTTCTCTAGTTTGGAAAAATTTTAAAAAGTTTTCAGGCTCTCGTGTATCCGATACTTTCTCCTGTAATGAGCCCTCAACTTGGATCGATGACTTTATTAATAGATTGGCCCCTCCTTCTGTCCCATCTATGGACTGTTTCCCTCCCTCCTTTTCCCCCAACTCTAATGATAGAATGGATCAACCATTTTCCTCCGTAGAACTTTCTTCAGTTTTGAACCACCTAAGAGACTCTACACCTGGAATCGATGGTATCCCTTACTCTTTTATTAAGAACATCTCAAATTCTTCGAAAACTGTCCTACTTAATATTATCAATAAAGTCTTTGAAAATGGTGATATTCCACACTCCTGGAAACTTCAAGTTGTTATCCCTATTCTTAAACCAGGTAAGGATCTAAGGGATCCTGGCTCATATAGACCCATTGCGCTGTCATCAGTATTATGCAAAATATTGGAACACCTCATCAAAAATAGATTAGAGTGGATATTGGAGAGCAAAGGACTTTTATCCAGGTCGCAGTTCGGATTCCGTAAGGGTATGGGCACTCTTGACAGCCTCAGTACCTTTTCTACTGAGATTAGACTCGCACTCACCAGAGGATTGTACTTTGTTGGTGTCTTCCTGGACGTGACAGCCGCTTATGACAATGTTCATCTCCCGCTACTCAGGCAAAAAATGCATCAGCTGAGTCTACCAGTGAGGATGATTAACATCATTTATAACATGCTAATGTCTCGCTCCATCTCAGTACGTATCAATGGTTCTCTTCTCCCCCCCAGAATGATATGGAAGGGACTCCCGCAAGGTTCTGTCTTGAGCCCCATCCTTTATAGTGTATACAATGCTGACCTTGATAAATCTGTTGACTGCTTCTGTGATATTCTACAGTATGCAGACGATTTAGCACTCTATTATTCCTCAGAGTCTCTTGATGAATGCACTATCCAACTAAATACTGCCATTAGATACTTGCAAGGTTGGCTCACTAATCACTGCCTTCTCCTATCTCCCAGTAAAAGCTCAATAGTAGTATTCACAAGAAAAAGACGTGTCCCACATATACAAATTTTCCTAAATGATGAACTGATCCCTGTACACGACAAGGTTAAGTTTCTAGGCTTCTTTTTTGATTCCCACATGACTGGAATCCCTCACCTGAATTATATTAAAAATAAATGTGAAAAGGGTATAAATATTATTAGAGCTCTGTGTGGAGTATGGTGGGGTGCTCACCCTTATACCCAAAAATTGATCTATAATGCTGTAATAAGGAGTCATTTTGATTACGCTTCATTTTTATTAGAACCCTGTAACAAATCCGCTGTTAACTATTGGGATAATATACAGGCTAGATGTCTTCGTGTTATATTAGGAGCTATGAAATCATCTCCAATCAATGCCATGCAGGTTGAGAGCTTAGATCCCCCGTTATGTTTCCGTCGTCAGTACTTATGCGACCGTTTCTTTTTCAAAATCTTACAAAATTCTGCCAACCCGTTACTTGCCCCCTTGACTCAACTAGCGAACCTTGTTACAACTTCTAAATACTGGGAACATAAGAGCCCTCCATGCCTTTTAAAAAGCTTTAACAAATCTCTCATCGGCCCCCCTATCAATCTATACTCTGGTAATCCATTGTTTTTGATTGATTTTGATGCACTAATTTTTAAACCCAACATTGTTACCAATTTAGGAATTGTCAAAGATGACCCTAACGCTGGAATACTTTTTAATAAAATCGTTAATGAGAAATGGAACAGTTGGCTCAATATCTTTACAGATGCTTCCAAATCCACCACAGATGATTTTGTTGGCTCTGCCGTCTGGATCCCCACATTTAATATCTCCTTAACTTTTAAATCTCCCTCTAAAGCGTCCGTATATTCGGGTGAGGTGATCGCTGTTTTTGAGGCAGTTTCATATGTTGAATCCCACAAATTAGACAAATCTGTAATTTTTACAGACTCTCGTAGCTGCCTAGACGATCTGTTAAAATTCCCCTTTCGTAGCAAAGATGTTCACCCAATCAATCTTAAAACAAAAGAGCTTCTTTACAATTGCTCTAACCTTGGCATACAAATTGTTCTTGTTTGGGTTCTGGACACTCTGGCATTCCTGGGAACGAACAAGCGGATAGATGGGCTAAATGGGCGATTCATTCTGGTACCATTATATATGATAAATGTTTTTCTCAAGACTTACGCTCCCAGGCTAAGATTGATTTACACAATAACTGGAAGACTTACTGGTCGTCTTCTAGCAGACAAAAAGGCAAATATTATGCTGGTCTTCAACCAGTAATACCCAAGAAACCTTGGTTTTTCGAGTTCCGCGAGGCCAATAAAAGAACAACTTCAACTATCATCCGATTGCGCCTAGGACATAACTGCAGACCCACTTTTCTTGCTAAGCTCAGGATAAGGGATCACTCCCTTTGCGAGTACGGTCTTGAAGAAGGAACTCTTGACCATATATTTTTTAACTGTGCATTATATCCCGTCTCTTTATACGATCTTCTTCCGGATTGTATCCCTCGTCCCACAAATTTTTATAGTATCCTTTCTCCCCTAAAACCTCCTCTACTATTTACTCTATTTAAATATATTGAACAAAATAACATACGGTTATAACTTTTACTATGTGCACAGCATGTGTTTACGTTTTTCATCCCAAGTAGCTAGTCAAATAACCCCGTGTTTTGTCTTTGTCCATAGGATGGTGCAATCGATCATCGTCGTTTGAGTGAATCTTGATAAATATACCGTGTATCTTTCAACCCGGACACTGGCAAAATTGTCCTCAGTGGGACAGAAGCCAAATACCCAAAAAAAAAAAAAAAAATTGAATTTGGAGTTGAGTTGACTGTTTCGTTCGATGCGGATAACGAATTCTAAGTTTGATAATATCATATTTCATTTGCTCGCTAAAAGCAAAAAATGGCTTTGTCTAAGAGTCTTAAAAAATATTCAAAAAATACAAACATAAATGTTTACGTTTGTACGTTTCAAACTCCAGTCGGTAATGTAGTCGCATGTGCGGACGATGATTTTCTGTACATGGTGTCATTCGAAGATTCAAAATCCTTGGAAAAGAATTTACAGACCATCTCCGACCAGACTAATTGTGAATTCGTAAAGAAAAAAAACAGTTTTCTGGAGAAATTCGACGACGAACTTTCAAGATATTTCGATGGGAAACTTAAAATGTTTACTCTGCCATTGAAAACATTTGGTTCTGATTTTCAAAAGGTATATGTTAAGTTTGTTCGTTGTAACGTCACTTCTTGTTTATTGCAGTTGGTTGATAAATGAATTTTGAATTATTTAATATCAGTGCCTATTACTTGTTATAGGAAGTTTGGAAGAAAATGATCGAGCTTCCTTATGGTTCGACACAAACGTATGGGGATCTGGCGAAATCCATGGGTCGAACGGCCAGTCACTCGCGGGCGATCGGTGCAGCGTGCGGAGCTAATGGTCATGTATTTGTGATACCCTGCCATAGAATTGTAGCCTCAAACTCCAATGGAGGATTCAGTTCTGGTGTGGACAGAAAGGAATGGCTTTTAATTCACGAGAAGAAACATGATACTTAGAAGCAGGGATGCCATTAGATATAATTACTTGATTTCATTGCCTTTGCTATATATAGTTCATTTCAATCCATTCTACATGACAGGGTATCACACAATGACCATAGACATGGATGATAGACATAGTGATGGATGATGAATTGTACTGCCAATTATACATCAATTTAACCTTTGTCAGGGACCGCCATTGTTTGCATTTCCACTTGTCTGGTAACTTCCTGCTTCGGGATACTACAACAAAACCTTGTCTCTGGCATGCTTCTGGTCCGGGATAACATGTGCACTATGTATGTACATGTGCATTCTATTTGAACATGAATTTCGGCAGGTAAAATTGATTTCTCTCTGCTTTAACTCATACTAAATGAGATAAGTAAAGTAGTAAAAATAATCACTCCTTATGAGCCATCACACAAGACCAATGCGGGATGTAAAGCTTCTACTATCAAAAAATTGTGAGCTGCTGTTTTTTTATCTATGTTACAGAAGAATATAAATATATGCACATATATATTTATAATGTAAATAAAACACAAATTTGACTGGATAATACGGTATATGGATATGTATGAATAATTCTTTAACCCAAGTATGACTTACAATGTAACATTACTTTTACACTACAATTGTGTTTTCTGCAATGCAATTTGTTAGCTTAACACAATATGGTGATTTGAAAAATATAGTATGTATAGGTTTCATATAAAAAAATAAACAATAAAAAAGCAATAAAATTATAGTTTTTCTGAACAATGGACATTAGAACTAAATGACCTGCTGGAGTCCCTGCCAGACATATATAATTTTGCAAAATGACAGCTTCAGATGAAGATATTCACCTGAAGTCCCGGAGCTGAATTTGCCACACGAAGGGTTAATAAATTGAATGATTCCATTTGTTTGATTCAATCAGTTGGAATAACAGTTATTTTTGCTAATATGTGATTCAGTACTATGTGATGATAGAAGAAGTAAATGATGGTGTTCAAGCTTTACTTCCTGGTTTATATGTAGTTAATTCCTGGAAGAAAGGGTGTAAAAGCTAAACTACAAAATTTGCAAGAGTAATGAAAAACAAATGTTTATGATACGTAGCATTTTGCTTCATATCCTTTTCAATTTTTATAACTATGTTTGTAAAAAATAAAAACAATTTAAATTTAGCATAAAAGAATTTTTCAATTAAACGGATGGAAAGATCTTGAAAATTTTGATTGACTTTGCATTGCATACATAGCAAATTTTTTGTAAAGTTGGCTTACACGCCTTTTTCTGTGAAGTATCAAACATAAATTAAAATAGTTGATTAAAATAAACATTACTTACATTAAAAGTGCATCTTTTGGTTATAACATAATACTTAACATTAAGTAGGTACTTAAAGATTGAAATTAAAAAGAAACATTTTAATATTTCACTGGGTTGCAATAATACATTACTCACAACACACAGAGGCGCTGCGCAGATGGAGCAACTTTGATCATCGAGTTTCGGCAACTGGCAACCCGCAATTAGCTATTCATGACGTTTTTACATATAATTTCAAGATACCGCGCAGACGTAGCAACGTCAGTTGAGAGTTTCGGCAATTGAATACAGTTTTCGATTGCCGAAATCCGTGATTAAATAAATTTTTGATTGCCGCAACTAGAAACTTGCAAATTTGCACCGTTTTTTGATTTTTTGTCTCCAGTTGCCAGTTTCCGCAACTGGCAAGCGCAACTCGTGAAGCAACTGCACTCCCTCCGCATCCCCCGCAGTGTCAGTCTTGACCGTGGATTTCTAAAGTTTATTTAAAATTGCGGCAACCGGCAACTAGGCCTTTTATTTGCTACAACCGGCAACCCATAATGGAAACTTGTAAAAAGTTTCCAGTTGCGTCAACTAAAGTTGCTCCATCTGCGGAGCGCCTTAGACATCGCCGCGGAACGAAATATAAGCGAATTTTCAGAATTATACTTTATTAGGTCAAACGTGTAACCTATAATCTAAATACGACCCAAAAAGCCCAAAATACAGGTCGCGTGTCTTCCGGCCTTCCTTCTTCGTAGCTATCGCCCGGTCCGCGGGTCCGCGGGGAGTGGTGCGGAAGCAGGCGCAGTGCGGCGTCACGCCTACGAAACTGGAGGTCTACCACGAAATACGAAACAACGATCATCGTTTTAGCTTCATATCGCACCGGAGAGGCTACCACAAAAAGCTTTTATAAATATTTGAAGAATGTTTCATAGCGGCCAGTACGAGTACTTTTGACTCGTTTCTTCCTTATATCGTGAGTCCAAATATCTCTTTTTCTATTCTTCCTTTTATTTACTTGTGCTTTCACAAAATATAAACAATATCCAAATCCACCATCACGCCATGTGAAAAATCTAGACTACACAACTGAACCCCTACTACTGTCTCAAGGCGCAGTTGCGAGAATTCCCCCGTATTCGGCTACCATCTCGCGTAACGAAGTGAAATTCACGCTTCTGTTCCATTCCGTTCCGCAGCACGTAAACTGAGAAGTCTAGTTGCAGAATGAGCTAAAGGTCCATTTTACCCATTGTATCAGTAACATAAAGATAAATTTATTCTGTATAAAAATCAATGATCTTATATCACTGTATAGGCACATATTTTGCAATCTAGTTAACCCAGAGTGATGAAGGGTTACTTTTCTTGCCCGATGATATTTACGTAATGTGGAGGCTCTTTGCCCATACCGCAGCTGTAGTTTTAAATAGTGCGGGAATTTAAGAAGGGCAGCCTTCACCGTCATAACTACAGGAAAACGGTCCTTGAAGACTGAATTTCGAAGATATTTCAATCAGCATTTGAATGGTACAGACGGGGTAATGGTAGATAGCAAGAAAAAATAGAATTTTTAATGAAAGTTTTTATGGCTTTCGATCCTGTTTCTGTCGAGGATTAAGTCTTTATGGGGACAATTGAGAAAATCTTTTCCTTAAACTTTAGTACCCACGAAATGAATAATTAATAAAAGGTAAAGCCTCTAAGCGTGATCTAAGCTATACTGCCTATCATATCATATCTAAGATATATTAAAAAGAAACTGGTCACTATAAAATAAGATTAAGAAATTCAGTCAGATTATTATGAAATCAAATTATATTTTCGAATTTCGAACAGCTTTATTAATTTTGTTTCGTCGTAGAGAATAACTCTAGCAAAATTAGTAAAATTGCGTTTAACACGATTTTAAAACAAAATGTCCTCAAAGTTAGAATGCTTAGACTTATTACAAGCACAGATTACAGAATATTAATTAGAAGCTAACTATCTAATACCGGATTTATCTCGCCTTGCTACTTGTCGAAACATCCGCAGATCTTATTTATGCAGATGCCTTAGAGGAATGTAACCCGAGATCATGATTTTTTAAATTATATATTAATGGTGTAACGAAACCAATATTTCAAACAGTGCCTACCTATGTACCGAAACCTACCGAACCTATCGAAAGCCATACATAATCAGATTTGTTACTCTTTTAATGCTGGGGCGGTTTTATGTCAATCGCAACTAGTAAGTATAGAATACAACGATATAATAGTTATTGTATGTACGTTGAGTAATGGTAGCAATGTATGAATGTATTGTGAATTCCAACATTTACCTATAATGATACAATTTTAGAAACAAACGATGAATGCTTTCTGTATTGTGAAAAATGTATTTTTAGCAAGATGGTGCTTCGTCACACAACAATTTAAACTAGAGCGTTTAGATAAGACCACATCTGCAAAGTGACAACTTTTTAGGAGAAAAGTTTAAAGATTCTGCTACCGAAATTAGTCGGATAACTTTTTTATGCTTAAGGCTCAATTTACATTGCGGCGGAACGGAATGGAAGCGAATTTTTGTAACAATATTGTACTGTATAGCGTAATGAACTTTATGTTCAATTGTGTAACGTACAAACTAGATACGAGCCAAAAATCACGTAACGCGTCTTCCGCAATTCTCTCGCATGTTCGAGAATGCTCGCGCATTCGCGAAATTTCCGCAGTCACCGTCGGCGACGACTGGCGGTCCGCGGGAAATGGCGCGAAGGCAGGCGCAGTCGGACGTCAAATGTCGACGAAATATTACCTACAGCCTCGAGGCGCAGTCGCGAGGATGCTCGCGAAAGCTCGAGCATTCCTTGTTTCCAATGCTTGAATTCCAGCGACCGAGCGCGCGTTGTCGTGCTGCGAAGCGAAATTGACGGTTCCGTTCCGCCGTAATTGTACACTGAGTACAGGAATTATAAAATAAGCCTAAGTAGAGGAATTATAAAATTTCACATAATATTAGGGGTTAAAGTATGAAATTGCCGTTTTATTGCAATAGGT